GTGCGGGTGAGATACTCTTGGTAGCTTGCTGGCTCTCAGAGAGGGACGGAAGAATCGAACCGGCTTGGCCAGGCTGGCTGCGTATAAGACAAATGCCCTACCACTGTGCTATCGCTAATCAATCATGTTTTATTATATTTGAATAATGGTCTCTGTGACTTTAAAAAAGCAAATGTTCATTCCACACGATGGACGGAAAATATACATGGAATAGATTTATGATTATCCTTTAAGAAAAGGTAGTTTTTACATCTTTAAATCCAAATTTCTGGTGCTTTCCTTAATACTCAAAATCAGTATTTGTGCCAGATAAATTTTATCCTCAAACAAGTTATTTCTTATTACTATAGCAAATAGCTATTAATACATTTTAGTATTTTAAAAATGCCAATTCCTGGATACAAGTGTAATGGAATTTAAATAAAAAATGGGACCTATCATCCCATTTTAACAAGTTTTTCAGAAGTTTCTCATGTGTGTTACTGAAACACAGGACCATCTAATCAAAATTTCCTTTGAGGCATCCAGAATCTTTCCACAAATTCTTTTTCTTTGCTATCTTACTGTAAGTAAAAATAGATTTTTTATTAGAATCAAAAGCACTTCTAAATTAAAGTCTATGAAGTCTGTGGAAACCTACATTTCACATGCCTTGTTAAAACCACTAAACCTAAAAATTAATTTTGTAATGAGCTTGGCCAAGTCTGTCTCTGTCTGACAAGTGAGTGGCTGGCAGCAAGGTTTGCATCTGCTCTTCATTCACAGGATCAGAGACACAGTGAGGAAACTGGTGGAATGTTTGCAAGTCTCCAATCACCTTCTGCTAATAAGAATCGCCTTTCTTCAACAAAGACAAAGTTGTCCTTGTCATTCGCTTGGCCAAGCCAGAGTTGCCAGCACTGAACATGTTTGGAAAGGGCTCTGGGGTCAAACTGCCAGAGAGCCGATCTCAGCTCCCTTTTATTAGCTACGATAACTGGAGTGAGTTACTTCTCTCTCAGTTCGGTTTTTACACCTGTGAAATAGGACATGCAAATAGTGACTGTCTTCTAGAGTTACTGGAAGGGGGATGAGGTACAAGAACTTGTGCAAGAGCCACTGCTGCTCACTGAGTGCCAACAATGTATCAGGAAAATACCTTTAAGCTCTTTTACATATTAATTTAGTTACTCATAGTAACTCAGCCATTAGCTCTGCTTCACGTCTAAAGAAACGGAAGCATAGGAACTTTTCTAAGATCTAATAAATGACGATGTCTGCATTTTAACCAGATGTAGCCCAACTACACAATACTGTAATACTCTGCCGGTCACACCATATTGCCTCGAGGTGGGAGAGTAAAATGTTTAACAGTATAAGAAACAAACAAAAGCACTTATTGAGGGCTCAGGACATCAGGAGGGGGTGGTGAGAAAGAGAGAGACAGAGACAGAGACAGACAGAGACAGAGACAGAGGAGAGGGAGGTGGAAGCACCTTCTGTGTAGATCCAGAACCACCAGTCCAAGTATCTCCCTGACCTGTTTTGCGACCACCGCGTCACAGCAAGAAATCCCATCTCTGACGCCTCCTCTACTCCTGTGGATTTCAACCTCCTCAGAAACTTAAGACCTGGATGCTAGAAGCCGAATATCCACCTTCACTCAGCAACCCCAGATTGCAAACAAAAAACAGGATAACTTCCCTTTCTTCTTCAAGTCCAATATGCAATCTCCTAGGTAGCACTGCACTGTAGTACTGTCCTCCTGTTGTTCATTGATTTGCTCGAGCGGGCCCAGTAACATCTCCATTGTGAGACTTGTTTTTACTGTTTTGGCATATCAAATACACCACGGGAAGCTTGACAGGCTCTGCTGTGCAGGCAGGATAGTCTCGGTAGCTTGCCGGGCTCTCCAAGAGGGACGGAGGAATCGAACCCAGGTTGGCCCCATGCAAGGCAAACGCCCTACTCACTGTGCTATCACTCCAGCCAAGGTGAAATTAAAGATCAAATTTTCTTTCTTGAAATGAAAGAATCTTTACAAAATTCATGTGTACTCAGAAATACAGTATAGTGGGCAGGGCAGCCAACGCTGGTCAAGTCCCTGCTCCCCGTATGGTCCTTACAGCCCCCCAGGAATAGTCTCGAATAAGCCCTGAGCACCAGGGGGTAGTCCAAACAAACAAAAAAGAAATGTAAAAGATAAACAGGGATAAATTTTAACTCAGTCACCCCATCTCATTAAATCCTGTAAAGGAAAAAAAGGGAAAATTCATTGCCCCGCTGCAATGATGAAATATTTGGTCTCAGTGCTTAGTCAGTTTGGACACTTACTGACAGCAGGAAGGAGAACCCTTTGTCATCATGAGTTTTCCTAGGCTGGTGACGGGGAAAGACTGCAAAGCATGGGAAAGTCTTTTCTCTACGCATTCTGACTGACACATAGACTTTATCTATACATTCAGAAGATCAAATGAGGAAGCCAACTTCCTGTGCTATAACATTTCCTTTTCATTCTCCAACTGTTATGCCAGTATTCTTTTCCTTTTGGTATTTTTATACCAAACTGAAACTGAAACAACAGAATTTCCCCCAAACAAAAGAACAAATCTTTTATACCTTCCATATAGTAAAATAGTTATTAATAAAAAATTTTATGTGGATACATATAGCTTTCCCAAATCCCTCAACCCACCCATAAAAATTGCATAGAGCAAATTTCTAGAAATAACAATACTATTAAAATTGTAATACTTGGTCCTGGAAATTTCTGATTTACTGAAAACTAAAACAAAATATTTTGAGGGTCCTCTGCCTCTGCCTCTTACAGGGTCCTCTGCCTCTTAGAAGAGAAGTGAATCTGGTTTCAGCAATTTGCAAGTCCTCAAAGAACGAGATTGCTCTCTCGTGGCCAGAGGAGAAATAGCAGTTTCTCAAGCAAGGATTCTCCACCCACCACTCCCAGCATGATTTCTGTGGATCAGAAATTCAGACAACACGTGGAAGACCACCAGTCTCTACTTCAAAGTGTTTGGGCCACAGATGGGAATGAATGGGAATGAAGCTACAACGGAGGCTTAGAATCATCTAGAGGAATCTTCATTAACAGGCCAGGCCAGAGTTGTCAGTACACCTTCAACTGAGCTGTGAGCTGTGAGCTGAAATACCTACAGATGTTCTCTTTCCCACGTCGTATCTCTGGGTAGCATATCTCGGGATTTCTATATATTGAAACCTGAGTTCTAAACAGACATCCCAAGGGATAAATATTTAAATGCATAGGTTATAAAATCTAGCCTCCAAATTCAGAGAACATCCTTTCCCTTATATTCGGTTAGTTGAGGTGATGAAAGTTTGTCCTGATTCAGGGTTCAAGGAGAGAGAACAGAGAACAGGATGACTACAAGATCACATTATAAGCAAATTATTCAGAATAACAGCCTTTGTCAATTCAACTTGCCATGTGTCTCCCTGTTTGTTTAGTGCCTTATCTGTGGTGGAAATTCCCTGGTGGGTATACCCATAGGCCACAAAGATCTACACACTTTGCGTGTCTTAGGTTACTCCTCGCCTTCCCCCTAAATGTATTTTCCACAAATCTCTTTTCTGGATAACTTCAATAAAATGCTCTATCTTCCAGGCCTTTGACCCTATCACAACCATACCACTCACAATTGTTTAAGACTCTGCTTCAATTCTCAGACTACATCCCTCTCCATTTTCCCTAAAACTCTGCCCACTAGGGGATTATTCTTGTGATTACCTTTTAAGGGCCCTACCAGTGGGATTTTAATGTAGTCTGTGTTTAGCTCTATCAAAAAACCAGGCTTGAACCAATAATCACTTGTGAGTATTTTCCTAAAACATCATCAGATGGTTAAGGAAAGACTCTATAGGTGTGCAATGAAGGAGGTATGGGTCACCTACTCACGTGACTTGTGACTGCTGAGCCTGCTGAAATGTAATCCCACGTATACCTTTTCTACCATTCAGCGGAGCATGGCTATACATATCCATCCTTGCAAAACTCAGATCCTGAAGGGAAACTCTGGTCTTTTAATCATTGGGAATTTCATAGTCAAATTCTCAGTGTCTAGTACAACTCACTATCATACTCGTAACTACAAAGCATGGCTGACCTTACTCTAGAATACTAGAGCTTTGTGCAGCCATTCTCCTTGTAGATCTTGCCATATTCTACATAGAATTATATCATCAGGTGCCATGAGATAGGCCTTATTGTTAAAACTTGAAACATCAAGTTGAATCACAGCCTGGACTTGAAGCAAAGTTCTTTCTTCCCTTGACCCTAATGAAAATGTTTGACTCAGTCAGATAATCTCATCATTGGCTACGATTTAGTTACATGTTCTTCTCTCCCCAAAGGAAGGATAACACAACACAAACCAAAGCCATGCTACTGGACCTGGCACTCGGCTGTTCCAATCCGGGACATCCCGGAGGGGGCCAGATGAGACCCCTCCTCGCTCCAAGGGACCCAGCCCCAGCAGCCAAAAACCTCCAGAATTCAACCACCACCATGCTCATGACCGCTCTCCATATGCTCGGGCTGAGCCTCACTCATGAATGAATCTATTCCTGGACTGACAGCTCATACCCACACCACCCATACTCCAAGAATATTGCACCACATTTGATTGTGTTTAAAGTAGGTAAAGGTAAAAAGGTAAAGGCCCTCCCGTTGATCATCGATTTGCTCGAGCGGGTCCAGTAACGTCTCCATTGGAGACTTTGTTGTTACTGTGTCTGGCATATCGAATACTCTCGGTAGCTTGCCGGGGCTAAAGTAGGAGATAACCAATTTTAGAAAGGAAAAAAATTTTTACAGATATAAATATATATACATATATGTATGTATATATATATATAAACACAAGGCTCAGCTTTTAACAACATGCTAGTGATCTCTTATAGAAGGGCTTAATGGCCTCTGGGTGAAATACAACAATCTTCACACTTTTCCTCTAAGGAAACTCTTTTGTAGCATTTTCAATGGTTTTTCATAACAAACTTTTAGCTTCACTCTTTGGGTCATCACAGAGTTCTATAGTCTCCTTAGCACTGATGTTTTCTTGGGGATGGTCTTCCAATTCTTTGGCACTGTCTTGGTTTAAGCTGGTGTCTTCTGGATCACTCTTTACTCCTTCTCCAGTTCCGTTTTCATTAATATTACCACCGAGATCCTGTGCTAGTGGTTTCTGTTTCTTTTTCTTCTGTTTCTTAGAAAGCTTTTGTTGTGGTGCATCTTCTATTTCTTCCTCAGAATGGACATTCAGTGTATTTTCATCTGTTAGAAGTCCTGAAAATTGTTCTTCCTCCTCTTCCAACTGTTGTTTTAACAAGGCAACCATTTCTCGATGCTTCTTTGATTTCTCATGATTCTTCATTGCCTTTTCTGTCCTGAAAGATTTGTCACACGCCGGGCAGTAAAGGTCATCATATATCTCAGCATCCTCGGCATCCTCGCTCTCTCTGCCATCCTGTCCATCTTTGAGCTCCTGTTCCTCCACATTTTCTTCTTCCGATCCATCTCCGAATTCCTTCTCATATCGGGCCTCCATCTCCCTGAGCTCCTTCTCCAAGTCAGCCACCGTCATCCAGCTCTGTTCTTTGTACTGTTCTGCAAGTTTGGCCTGCTTCAGCTTCTGCTGCCGCCGCATCTCCTCCGCCTTGCGGGCCTTCTCTGCGTTCTGCTCCTCCACGAGTCTGCGGTGAGCCTGCACGCGCTTATCCCGCTTCCGGATGAAAGCCACCAGCTGACGCACGAGCTCGTTCTTCTCCTTCCTGGCCCGGTCTCGGATCTTTTTGTTCTCTTTCTCCATGGCTCGCTTCTCCCAGCGGTTAGAGGCTTGTCGCGTATCATATTCCTCTTTCCAAGCAAAGTTCTTTTGCGTGCAGAAACTCTGCCAGTAGGCGTAGAAAGGATGGACGACCGTATCATAGTCACTCTGGGAGTCTCCGAAAGGGGGGAAGTCCTCCACGTCCTCTTCCAACATAGATTCCAGCTCCTCCTTTGCAATCATTTCAAACACATTGCGATATACAGTGTAGAAGCCCTTTTCGTCATCACCATAACCAGAGTAGCAGGTCACAGTGAAGAAGTGCAGCAAATCCAGACTGTCGTCCTGGTATTCTCCATCAAGCCCACCTTTCAGCAGAGCCTCTCTGTGATTATCATACCACGCTCTTTCTTGGGGGTCGCTCAACACGTCGTATGCTGCTTGGATTAATTTGAATTGCTCGGCTGCTTCCGCGGCATTATCCAAATTTTTATCCGGGTGCCATTTCAAGGCCAGCTTCCGATAGGCCTTCTTGAGCTCCTCCTCGCTGGCGTCGCGCCGCATCCCCAGCGCCTCGTAGTGACACTTCATCGCCGGGACGGTCACCTGGCCAGGGTCCCGGGAGGGATCGGGACGCGGGCCGGGGACGGCGCCCGGCTTCGGGCCGAAGTGACGGCGGCGGCGGTGCTGGTATTCCTCGGCGGCGGGAGCCGGGCGCCCGCACCGGGCCAGCCAGCGAGCATTGGCATGACATTGGCAACTATCGCCCGATCTGCCTATTGTCTGTCATCTACAAGTTGTTCACTCGAGTCATCCTGAATAGGATTGGCAGAACACTAGATGAAGGACAACCATGTGAGCAAGCAGGGTTCCGCAAAGGATTCAGCACCATCGACCATATCCACACGATAACCAAACTCATTGAGGTTTCTCGGGAGTTCAAGATGCCGCTCTGCTTAACGTTCATTGATTTAAAGAAGGCCTTTGATTCTGTTGAGACGGAAGCGGTCATTGAAGCCCTAGCCAATCAGGGCATTCAAGCCCAATACATCAGGATCCTCCGTGAGCTGTATTGCGGATTCACTACCAGGATCTCACCATTCTACAAAGAAGTGATCGTTGATGTCAAGAGAGGGGTGCGGCAGGGTGATACCATTTCACCAAAACTCTTCAGTGCCACCCTCGAGAACATCATGCGACGACTGGAATGGGAAGGAATGGGAGTGAAGATAGATGGTCGGCAACTACACCACCTCCGCTTTGCTGATGACATCGTTTTAATAACACCAAACATCAGCCAAGCGGCACAAATGCTGGCCGACTTTGACCGTGAGTGTGGAAAGGTAGGACTACAGCTGAATCTTACGAAGACAATGTTTATGAGAAACAGCCTTGTTCCTGACGCCCCATTCGCTCTCAATGGAACGACCATCTCCGAATGCAACAGCTATGTGTACCTAGGTCGAGAGGTCAACATGAGAAATGACCTGGCACCCGAGCTGCGCAGGAGGAAGAGAGCGGCTTGGAACGCCTTCAAGAACGTCGAAGAAATAGCTAAGAGGACGAAGAACCTCCGGCTCCGGGCACATCTCTTTGATTCCACTGTTCTTCCTGCATTAACATATGCCTCAGAGACCTGGGCCCTACGCAAACAAGATGAGAACGCCATTCAGGTCTCCCAAAGAAGAATAGAAAGAGCTATGCTTGGAATATCACGTTTCACTCAAATGAGAGAACGAATCCGGAGTTCTGACATCCGTCGACGATCAAGGATCAGGGACGCTGTCTCATTTGCCAAGGTGTCGAAAATCAGATGGGCTGGTCACGTAATGAGATTTAAAGACGACCGTTGGACTAGAGCTGTTACTGATTGGATTCCACGGGATGTCAAGAGACCGCGTGGCCGCCCACCTACCAGATGGTCAGACTTCTTTGTCAAGGTCATGAACGATCGGTTTGAGGCCCTCCATGTTCCCGGAGCGAAGAGATGCCATTGGGCTACACTAGCACGCGACAGGGACAAATGGAGACGTTACTGGCGCCCGCTCGAGCAAATCGACGACTAACGGGAAGTTAAGTGATTAAGTGATTTCATAACAAACAACAAACAAACACTGTCCTCCCAATATTCATTGATTTGCTCAAGTGGGCCCAGTAACATCTCCATTGTGACACTTGTTGTTACTGTGTTTGGTATATCAAATATGTCATGGGTAGCTTGCCAGGCTTTGCCATGCACGCGAGATACTCTCAGTAGCGTGACAGGCTCTCCGAGAGAGGCAGAGGAATCGAACCAGGCTCGTCCGGGCTGGCTGCATGCAAGGCAAACCCCTTACCGCTGTGCTATCACTCCAGTCCTTACAAAGTAATTTATTTTGGTTCTGCTTTGGGGCAGGTGTTGGGATTCAGGATGGAAACATTTGAAATATGGTGGTGGGATTGGTGTAATGGTGGTGGGATTGGTGTTCAAATATTAAATGTATTCAAATATTGAGAACTTTATACAAACTTTATAAAATAAAATTTTTTAAAAAAGTTTGACTTCCCTGACAGATGGATAGAGCAGTCTATTCAAATGCATCATAGGCTAACTGAAAAATCCAAGAAATGAATCAAACACTTGTTCTTAAAGGTAAGAGATATAAATGAGTAAAGATGCAGAATTTTTTCCTTCACTTTAATGAGTATATCCAGGCATTCCTTGGATTACCAGACTCAAAAATTTTAACAAAACTGCTGGCCCCTCTACAACTGTGATTTTCTCCCTCAATTTCTCTCATGCATGTACCAGGGTGTAGGATAACATTGGTTTGTCCTTTCTTTCTTGCCACAGGTAGTTTAGGTTTATTGGGTCACTCTCATCACAGTGCTTTCGAAGCACTCCCATTCCCATGTGTTTATCTGCAATCTCTTTCTTTGTGCTCTGCCTCCCCAACAAATCACTTTTGTCTCCTAATCGGACTCTGTTAACTTGTAAATATTGCTTTTCTCCCCTCCTTAGCCCAACAATCATTTAAACATTCATCTTAATTAATATTATTCATTTTGTATGGACATAGCAAGAGATACATTAAGCTTGTAAGGTGGGTCTCCTCAGGACATCTCGCTATAGATATCAGACTACAGTACTCAGGCCAGATTAGTTTTTCCAGTTGTTACTTTTTGGATCATGACAGAATTTGTCCATGACCATGCTCTTAACTTATAGTTAAGTATTATGGTGCTTTGGCCTGGCCCGTTTTGATGCCAGGTAGCTCACAGCTTGTCCTGGGTCCACCCAGTCCTTTGTCGGGAACCTGCTTTTGGGGTGCTGGAACTAAGGGCAACTGAGGCTTAAGTCGAAAGAACAGATGCCCATGAGTGAATATTATTCGGAGTCAATTAACTTCCCAAGTTACAAAAGCATAACATTAGCTGTCTTACTGTGTCCATCAAAATAACTAATATTAAGAAATAGAATTAAGATGTTAATTAAGTTATTGGACTAAGATGATGAGAAAAACCCCTAGGTGGTATTTTGCCCATGAGCCAGCTACAGGTGATCAGGAAGGGCTTTGATATGTTGATTGTGCTATCTGACCTAGGTGTGGTTGCTATGGCCAAAGTTGGGGAGTTGGTAGAGACTAGAGAGACCAGGAAGTGAGTCTCAGAGCAAAGAGAGACTAGCCTGCAGGACAGGAGGAGACTGGAATGAGGGGGTAGTGTGATACTGGAATGAGGTGCTTAGTGAGATTGGAATAGGTGCATGGGGAGAATGGAATAAATGGCAACTGATCATCAACCAGCCTGGCCCTTATTCCCTCTTCTGTCCATCCTTGGCATAGGTGATCTGGGGTGGGGAAGCGGTCCGAGACCACCAAATGCAGGTGGTGAGAAAAAGCCATGGGATTCCTAGTCGTTTGGTGAATACACACCAGGGAATCCAGAGTTTCGTTTATCATTTCCTGCTTAGAATTCAATACTATCAGTACCTATCTATACCAGTAAGTATATTGAAGAAGAGTTGAATGATCAAAGATGAGTTTTTATATATTACTAATTTATAAGGGCTGGAGTGATAGCACAGTGGTAGGGCGTTTGCCTTGCATGCAGCCAACATGGCCGACCCGAGATCGATTCCTCGGCCCCTCTCGGAGAGCCCGGCAAGCTACCGAGAGTATCTCACCCACACGGCAGAGCCTGGCAAGCTACCTGTGATGTATTTGATATGCCAAACACAGTAACAACAAAGTCTCCAATGGAGACGTTACTGGGCCCGCTCGAGCAAATCGATTACTTCACTTAATCACTTAATCACTTAATCCCCGTTATTCATCGATTTATTCGAGCGGGTGCCAGTAACGTCTCCATTCATCCCGGTTGCGTGCTAGTGTAGCCCAATGGTATCTGTTTGTTTTAGGAACATGTAGAGCCTCAAACCGATCATTTAGGGTCTTGACGAAGAAGTCTGACCATCTTATAGGTGGGCGTCCACGTGATCTTTTGATGTCTCGTGGAATCCAATCAGTAATGGCTCTAGTCCAGCGGTTGTCTGTAAACCTCATTACGTGTCCAGCCCATCTGATTTTTGATGTCTTGGCAAATGAGACAGCGTCCCTGATTCTTGAGCATTGACGAAGATCAGAACTCCGGATTCTATCTCTCATTTGAGTGAATCGTGATATTCCAAGCATAGTTCTTTCGATTCCTCTTTGAGAGACCCGAATAGTGTTCTCATCCTGTTTTCGTAGGGTCCAGGTCTCTGAGGCATATGTTAATGCAGGAAGAATAGTGGAATCAAAGAGATGTGCTCGTAGCTGGAGGTTCTTTGTCCTTTTAGTTATTTCTTCAACGCTCTTGAAGGCATTCCAAGCCGCTCTCTTCCTCCTGTGCAACTCAGGTGCCAGGTCATTCATCATGTTGATTTCTCGACCTAGGTATATATAACTGTTGCATTCGGAGATGGTGGTTCCGTTGAGAGCGAATGGAGCGTCAGGAACAAGGCTGTTTCTCATAAACATTGTCTTCGTAAGATTCAGCTGTAGTCCGACCTTTCCACATTCACGGTCAAAGTCGTTCAGCATTTGTGCCGCTTGGTTGATGTTTGGTGTTATTAGAACGATGTCATCAGCAAAGCGGAGGTGGTGTAGTTGCCGACCATCTATCTTCACTCCCATGTTTTCCCATTCCAGTCGTCGCATGATGTTCTCGAGGGTGGCACTGAAGAGTTTTGGTGAAATGGTATCACCCTGCCGAACCCCTCTCTTGATATGGATGATTACTTCTTTGTAGAATGGTGAGATCTTGGTAGTGAATCCGCAATAGAGCTCACGAAGGATCCTGATGTATTGAGTTTGTACGCCCTGATTGGCTAGGGCTTCCATGACCGCTTCCGTCTCAACAGAATCAAAGGCCTTCTTTAAATCAATGAACGTTAGACAGAGTGGCATCTTGAACTCCCGAGATACCTCAGTGAGCTTGGTTATTGTGTGGATATGGTCGATGGTACTGAATCCTTTTCGGAATCCAGCTTGTTCACATGGTTGTCCTTCATCTAGTGTTCTGCTAATCCTATTCAGGATGACTCGAGTGAATAGTTTGTAGATGACAGACAATAGGCAGATTGGGCGATAGTTGCCAATGTCGTGGATGTCTCCTTTCTTGTATAGTAGTACAGTCTCGCTGGTTTTCCATTGGGATGGAACCTTGCATTCAGACAGGTAGCGTGTGAAGAGTCGAGCCAATGTATTGATGAG